ATTGACAAAGAAACAGCAAGAAATACGCAAGCAGAAAGACATTACATATATTAAAAACCAACACTTTCTCATTACTTTATTTTCCAGATAAACAGACTGGGCCACAGCAGTGCATGTCAGGGGACAGCTAGTATTTTATATAACAACAACAAACTTTATTTATAACCTGCCAACATCTCCTCAAAGGGGACTCGGGGCAGCTAACATGAGGCCAAGCCCAAAAACAATAATTAGACACAAAGCAACAGAGAAATACAACACAACAGTATATATAAAATAACAAAATAAAATAAACAGTGCAAAATAACATAATAAAAATCAAACACAAAGGGTGGGCCAAATGCATGAATAAAATATTAAAACCCTGGGTGCGATAGGAATGGAAAAAGTGTATTTCTGAGGGAGGAGCCCAAGAAGGAGGAGCAGTGGGGTTTGGCCTTTAAGGACAGGGGAAGGTATTTTAGAGAAATAAAACATCCCGCAGTGACATGTGCTTCCAGTTTCTATGCAGACTCAAATCTATTCGGCATATATCAAAGCTGACAAAACACTGGTCTAATACGATGAAAAGGAACACTTAGTGAAATTATGTGTCCCTTTTATATTGCTCTTTGCTTAATTGGCTTTTAACACATGTCTACATATGCAGCTAGCCTTTGAGCTAGTTGGCATGTGTGTAAATTATAATGTGTAAATTATATTAATCTAAGAAGTGAGTCTCCTCCTTACATTTTCAAGCTAAAATAAGCAATGAGCTATAGATGTATGCATTGAATCTGTTGTGAGCTAGTTTGTTCCTTTAAAACAGTAGTTCCCAACCTGTGGTCGGTGGACCAGCAGTGGTCCGCAAGAACAAAAATATGGTCCGCAGCTTCACCATTACTACATGGTTGCCTTGAAACCAAGCTGCAACTAGAGTGACTGGCCTCGCGAAACCCTCTTGTTTTCTGCTTCCCTGGAGACTAGGGCGCGGAACAATGGCTTCAAACTACAAGAAAGGAGATTCCATATGAACATGAGGAAGAACTTCCTGACTGTGAGAGCCGTTCAGCAGTGGAACTCTCTGCCCCGGAGTGTGGTGGAGGCTCCTTCTTTGGAAGCTTTTAAACAGAGGCTGGATGGCCATCTGTCAGGGGTGCTTTGAATGCAATATTCCTGCTTCTTGGCAGGGGGTTGGACTGGATGGCCCATGAGGTCTATTCCTAACTCTTTGATTCTATGATTCTATCATTCTTATACTGCTGAAGTAACGGGGATGTCGGGAGGGGAAAGGCTGACTACCCATAAAAGATTACTTCTACCACTTCAGCTCTAGATGATTAAATATGGTTTTCTGTGGCGAGCAGATGGCGACTACTGGATGGCATATGTTCTGTATCAGAAACTAGAGCTGATGTGGTCTATCCAATGCAATTTTCTGAATCAGCACCCAAATAACCAAACCAAATCTAAAGTTGACCAAAAACCGATTCATAACCCTTTTAGTATGAATGTTGGAGAATGATCCCTAGTCAAATGGTCCCTGGTTAAAAAAAAGGTTGGGGACCACTGCTTTAGAACTATAATCTTAAACCTATGATTTGAGGAAGGAGGAAGTATGGAGAGGTTCCCTTGTCAAGTCAAAGAAATCAAGAGAACGACTTGTATTCTTTCAGTGTTTGGAGAACAAATTGGCAGAAGACCTGATTGCAAGCTGGGAGCCAAATGGCTAAAGCCTGGATAAGTTAGGCTTTCTGCCAGCTTAGGTCAGTACACTCTTGACGGTTTAGTCTTTATTAATGAAGCAAGATGGGCTTGTTGCCTTTTGGCAGTTAAAAGCAGCTTTCTGCTTCTTTGAAATGCAGTGAGATGTGGACTCCTTTGCCAAAATAAATAAATAAAATCCCAGTACAGTTTCTTTTTAGACTCTTCCTATTTGGCCTTGAGTATCAGGTGGAACATTGCGTCACTTAATCTTTTATTAAATCTTGTAGTGGGGCTCTGTCCTTTTGTGGTGTCATCCAGTTTTGCTTCTGTCTTGAGCAACGGAAGCCAGTAGGATGCCCTTCTCTACTTGAGTAGAGCTTGGTTTTGGAGGCATCAGTTATGATGTCTTTACTATTTTTAAATGTTGTGGAAGGAAAAGGAATACTTAACAGAGCAGCTGATCTTCCCATTTTAGAACCAGTAAGTATAGAAGAAGACTGAGGTCTTGATTAAATGACAAGCGCCCATTATTATGTCAGAAGGAGAATATGAACAGAAAAGGAGTTTGATGCAGAATCACCAAGGTGATTGGATAAGCTCATGTCTCTGATTCCTCCATCAGAATTGTCTTGTTTGCTACTCTAAGCTTCAAGTGTGGGTTGAAATTGCATTGTGTTGTTTGTTGCAAACCTGTAGTCCAGAATTAGCATCATAAATACATAAAAGAAGATGCAAAGTGGGGGGGGGGGACTATTGGACCTTCCCTGTCCACCATTTTTAAATCATATTGGTCAAGGGCTTATGAAACATGGGTAAAGCCCAATTGAGAGCCACTCTGTATTTAGTTTTCTCATTTGGTCCACAAGTGGATTGCCATCTAGAGTTACCATCCTGGAAGCATCAAAAAATAGTTGTCCTCACTTTAAAAAAATAAAATGCTTTATTTAGTTTTTCATTCTTTAAAATATAATAGTAATTTTGTCAACTCCTTCCTTCTCTCTCATCCTCAACCCTTTTGTAATCTATATTATATATCTCACTGTCAGTCAACAACAACATTTTATTATGGTCCAAAGACCCTTATTGCACTGTAGGTATACAAGATATGCAAATAATGAGATTAGGAACAGCCAATTGATTAAACACACTGTCAATCACCGCAGATATAGTCTCCCTCCAAAGGTTCTTTAATGTATTTAAAATTTTCCTAAATTGTTTTTAATTACATGGTTTAAATCCAGAATTTGTGAATTTAACAATAAAAAGGAAAGGCCTTCAGATTTGTCCAAATGATTCTGAATCGAACTTTCCTCTTCCTCATCAAAATGTATACATTAACTTTTTGGATAACGCCACAGACCCACACTCTTAACTAGTCAACTTATTATAAGAAAATCCTTCCAAAGTTTCCCATGAACTTGCTATTTCTGATCTTACAGTGCCTAATAACACTGCTGTGAGATCTTTGTTTGACAATCTTTCATTTCCCTTTTCAAGATACAGATAATAACAATACAGTTATTGTATAAGTGTACTCTCTATATAGCTATTCTCATTGATATGTGAGAGTGATGAAGGTTGTCTGTGCATTTCATTTTGCCCACACACTGCTAAATATGAGTTGCTCTTTGGGGGCAGGGATTCGTGGCAAAGAGAGGATCTTGAGAACCTCAGGAATCATAGCTAGTCATAAATAGATACATTTGGGTCAGAGGGAAAGCCTCTCCCTGCCCCAGCAATGTGGTTTCCTAGACAGCACAGGGATTGTAATAATTTTACGCACTCTGACCACAATTTTTTGTCCCATAGGAAGCTCTCCAAGAAGACTTTATAGACTGAGCCTTGTGTGCTCTACATTAGTTTTGTGCATTTGTATAGAATCACTATCAGTTTCTGTTTAATTCATCCATAAGGACCGCATCCCTGCATACGAACCCACATGAACTCTTCGATCATCTGGAGAAGCCCTGCTCACGATCCCACCTGCGTCACAAGCGCGATTGGTGGGGACGAGGGACAGGGTCTTCTCGGTGGTGGCCCCTCGACTGGAACTCTCTCCCCAAGGACATCAGACAAGCCTCAACGTTGGCAGTCTTTAGGAAGAGCTTGAAGATCTGGTTGTTTCAGTGTGCCTTCCCAGAATAGGAAACTCCAAGCATCATGTCCCAATGCACTTTACCAGAGATTTAATATTGTCTGCACACTGCACCTATCGCCAAACTCATCCATTTCACCTGGTCATGTCCAGCATTTTTTAAATTTTTAATCATTACATTTGGCCCGGCCATAGTTTTTAAATTGCGTCGTGGTGTTATCGTTCAATGTTTATTGCTTTTCTTTATGAGTTTATTTATTGTTGTATTTGTTATGTTGTTGTTTTGCTGATGTATTTGGCCTCGGCCTCTTGTAAGCTGCACCGAGTCCTTCGGGAGATGTTAGCGGGGTATAAATAAAGGATTATTATTATTATTATTATTATTATTACTATTACTATTATTATAAGGCTCCATTTTAGTTTTCAAGCGTCTCCCCTGAAAATGGACACCTTTCTGAATGAGCTTTTTCATCCCAGGTCCAAAAAACCCACAAATATTTTAGTCCCATTGATGGCAATGGGTGGGCTTCCCACACTCCCAGTCCCCTCAGTTTTAGTCACTGGCAGGAGCGAGTGCTTTCTGGGCCTGCACGCCACTCATGCACCCTCTTTCCAAGGAGAGTGCATGTGTGGCTTGCAGGCCCAAAGCCCCCATGCCTGCCAGGGCCTGCAGCCGAGCGCTGAATATCAGGCGACCAAACGGTTACCGTTCCCACTTTCCTTTCATTTCAATGATATTTCTGTACCAGAAGGGAGTGTACCATTTCATGCCACTCAAATGAAACAAGTGATACGAAAACACGAAACGGTTACCAGGCCCATGACTACTCTATATAGCTCCATTGCCATTTTGTAGTTATTTGAGAGCAAGATGGAACACTAGAAAGTAGTCCTTGCATGATTCCTTTTGAAAGTGGTGTTTTTCATTTCTTGAAGTCTATTTTCAAACCCTAAACAGGCATGGATGGGAGACTGCCAACAAATACCAGGTGCTGTGGGCTATATTTCAGAGGAAAAATCTGATAAAACCACCTTGACTAAGCATTGAGTATTCCTTGTCTGAGAAAACCCTATGAAATCCATGGTGTTGCTATAAGTTACAGGCTATTTAAAGCCAAGGACACACATTTCTACACAGAAGTTTAGCAGATGACAGAAAGGGTCATTAATGCATACTCAGATTTTTTTTTTGTGGTCTTTTTTTTAATGTTGTAACCAGGAATCCTGCTGCAGTGGGCCACGGCTGCTTCTGCTATGCGCTGCTGCGCTCCATCCCGGTTGCAGTGTACATCATCTTGGTGACGGCTTTGCGGTACCATCTCTTCATCTGGAGCGTCTTTTCACCAAAGCTTCTCTATGAAGGGGTCCATGTCCTCATCACAGCCGGTGTGTGCATCTTCTTCACAGCAATGGATCAGAACCATTTGCGCCGAGTCCAAGACTAAAAAGCCTCCATTGTGTGGAATCTGAGATCATGCTCAGAAAGCAACTGACTCTTTACTGTGGATTGTGGATTCTTGCCTTTCAGATTACCCAGCGAACTTTAAAGATCAATCTATTTTTAGCAAACATGTTTTATAAATCAGCTGTGCTGCAACAAGTCTATCCCAAAGTGCTGTTGCAGAGATAATGGGAGTGATCTTTCAAACTCTAATTAAAAGACTGAATGGTTTGGAAGATTGTACGCTCCCTGTCCCTTCCTGGACCAGATCTCGTGGCCCCGCAGTTCAGCAGTACATTGATCTTAAATACAGTGCAGATTCTCTTATTAAATAAGATTCTTAAATCAGAACCTGAAGCTGTTTAAACTGATTATGTTGGAACAAGGCTCATGTTAATTACGGTTAATATGCACACTGAATGCTTAAAAGTGGTTAAGGTAGGCGGAAAGAAATTGGCACTGGAAGGGAGAGAATTTGCAACCCACGCCCAATCTTTTAATTGCAATGGAGAGATCACCTCTGTTGTATCTTCAGTCCCAAATTGATCCAGCTTTGGACGTTGGGAAAGGAGTTATTCCCTTTTGTATTGCTCTTTATTGCTGTTATTTTTCTAAATCCAAAGAGAATCTCCTAGATGTTCAGTGAATTTTGATGGCAGGGGAGGGGATTCTGTCTGTCATCAGGGTTGTATTTTATTTTATGGTAGTTCCCCAGTTCTCACTTCCTAGATGGGAGTTGTTACACGAGGGCAGGGATAGGCAAACTTTTTTGTCTTGGGGCCGCATTGCGGACCCGACCAGGAGGGCTGGGCCAGGAGGGAGGGGGGCTAGGCACATACTAGAAGGGGTGGGCCAGGGAGGGTCTAGGAGAGTATGGGGCCAGGAGACGGTAGGGCAGGAGCTAAGTCATCCTCAGATTGTCTTCCCAACATAAGGATGGGGCTGTTTGCCTTATTCTTATACTGGGAGAAAGGCAGGACTTGCAGCGACTGCCCCAATCCTCCTCTCCTGATCCTCAGCCTGTCCTCTTGGCATTATGCCAGGAGGAGTGCAAGACAAGTGCTTGAGAGTGCTCCGGAGAGCTCTCAGCTGCTGAGTGCCTTCTTCGAGTCATCCTCCTGGCATAAAGTTGGGACTTCTCACACCATCCTTATGCCAGGAGGAGGTCAAGACATATGGTGACTGAGAGCGCTCCAGAAGACTTTCAGCTGCTACATGCCTTCATCCCCCAACTTTTTGGCATAAGGACACAGCGGGCCACTGTGTCCTTCAGCCAAGAGGACAGGGAAAATGAGGGTCTGAGGTATGAACCCAAAGGGGCGCATCCGGCTCCTGGGCCTTAGTTTTTCCATGCCTGCTTTAGGGAGTAGTTTTCTGTCCTTCATGACTTCAGCGGAAAGCTGGCTTGTGGTCAGTGCTCAAGAATTTAAAACTCTGAATTGCTATCCCTCTTGGCTTTTTGTTGTGTGATGGATTAAAGACGTCCGAGATGAAAAACTACTGGTTAATATAACACAAAGAAATTCCAATTTCCTGAGCAAAGTAATGAATACTGTTTTTGTTTCTAGTCAACCCCTCTGCTTCCCAAACCATCCACTGCAAAGTCAGACCTTGTGGGAATATTTTCCCATACTCCAGGATGCCATCTCGTCAACTCTGTAGATGCCTGCCTTCTTTTTCTTTTGATATTCTCTGAACATAATGCCACACAATATGACCAGATGTTGTAAACTGGAGATTACATATATTAAAAATGTAATATAATGTACATATAGCAGCTATTTGAATGTAGCTTGCAGAGTTTCCTGTCATTTGCTTTGATTATTTTGTTTCTGCAAACAGCAGTCAGAGAATATGAAAGAGCTTAAACAGCTGTCATAACTAAAAAAAATCCTTATGAGCAATAATGAAACATTTTGGAACACCAACCAATACCATTACTTTTGATAGATGGATCCTGGCATGGAAATGTTACATATGTAATGATGTGAGTTACTTCCTATCAGAGATTGTCAGCACATATGGAGCTGACAGCAAGATTTGTGTAAAATAAGAAATGCAAAGTGTATGTTTTTAAATATATATATTTATATACTTTTTCTGGTAGCTATAATTCTCCTGAATGAAAAATTATTTTCCTATATGCCTATTAAGGAACAGGTTAAGTATCCCTTATCCAAAATGCCTGAGATCAGAAGTGTTTGAGGGTTTTTTTTAAAAAAATTGAGTTTGGAATACCAGAGTTTGCATATATGTACATAAGATATTTTGGAGGTAGGACCCAAGTTGAAACACAAAATTCATTTACTGTATATTCTGGCATATAAGACGACTGGGTGTATAAGACGACCCCCAACATTTCCAGTTAAAATATAGAGTTAAGACAACTCCCATGCATAAGAATACACCCGCGTATAAGACGACCCCTGACTTTTGAGATGATTTTCTTGGGTTAAAAAGTAGTCTTATACGCCAGAATATACTGTATGTTTCATATACATAGCCTGGAGACAATATTACACAATATTTGTAAATATTTTTGTGCATGGAACAAAGCTTGTGTAAAAAAAAAAATGTCTCTCTGAGCCACTTGTGTAGACAATTATGGAGTCCTTTAGATTTTCGAATTTCAGATAAGGGATGCTCAACTTGTACTACGTACCTCAAATAATTTATTTTATGTGATATAAATGGAAACAGGTCTTGCGTTTTCCTCATATTTGTAATGTTTGGATCATCATTTCCTGCATTTATTGATCTGCCCCAGTCCGATAGTCCATTTTCTAACAGACACATAAAAAGCTCTCTTACAGCTGAACATGCAATGCTCTGTCTTATACTTTACATGCTTTCTAGTGCTGGTGGCCTTTGGTTTGTGAATATAAGTTAGAAAACTAGTTGTCACATTGATTGCATTTGTCAAAGAGTGCCTAACACATCCCCTATAATTTCAAGTTTGCTCATGTTTATTTATTTATAGCATTTATATTTCACCTTTCTTACCCATCAGGAGACTCAGGGTGGATCACAATGCACATATACATGGCAAACATTCTATGCCATATACACTCAATATATATAGACAGAGACACAGAAGCTATTTAACTTTCTAGCTTCATGAGGGTATATTTTTTGAATTCTGACCACCGGGGGAGCTGTCGCTTTACACCGATGGACACTTGTGACACCGATGGAGTACTTCCTCATTCTTTTGCACACTGGAGAGTTTTTAAGGTGTCATAAATTAGTTAAATTAGCCTCCCCGCATAAGCAGTACCTAAATTTCCTACTTGACAGATGCAACTGTCTTTCGGGCTGCAAAGGTTGACAGCAAGCTACATAAATGGCCGGAAACTCACTCCAACCCAGGCTGGCTTAGAAGTCATGACCTCTTGGTCAGTAGTGATTTGAATGCAGCTGATTCCCAATCAGCTGCGCCATGTTCAACAACTGCCTATCAAATCAAAATGTAATTGTGTAGAATATCTGGACCTGCAGATGTTTTGGGTCACTACTCCCCAAATCCCTTCTGATTGGCTGTGGTAGTTGGGGCTTCTGGGAGTTGGAGTCCAAGACAACTGGAGGAACAAAGATTCCCAACCCTTGCTTTCCTAGAATGGTCCCTGCTCCTCCTGTGTGGAAGTAGAAGGAAAATGCCGTGAGCATTTGCGATTTACAGGCTTCTTTTATTTATCTCCACAGCGTTACAAACAAGGGATATAAAAGGCCTAATAATGGCTTTTCTGTGGCATTTGCAGCTGTAAATCTCATTGTCTTAAGCTACACAATTTGAAAAACACTTTTTACTGAATGCTGTTGGAAGGGTGAACAGCGGCTGAGCAAATAACAGGGCTTTGGCAAACCACCTCAGTTCGTATTTTTCTTGCTTGGAAAGCCTCTTGTTACTTGTATTTCTAGGGTAATGTAAACCAAACTTTGCATGCAGAGTTCATTAAGGTGATTAGTTATTTGGGTGAGTGCCCCCCACTCCTGGAAGAAGGTAAGCCTAGTGTCAAACCCATATTCACCAGGGACCATGTCAGCCTTGTGGTTGCCTTCAAAGGGCTGTTGGTAAGACTGTATAAATATGTTGACCTGGCATTAAAAGCTTTGTAGGCCCCATGAAATGACGTTATAAGCTGGATTTGGCCTTGTGTTTGACATTTGTGGCCTAGAGCAATGGCTTGTACACAGTTGCAGAGAGGACGGGAATGCTACTGAACCATGGATCCAACCTTTCCTGAAGCATGATGTTGTTTATTCATTGAGTCGCTTCCAACTCTTCGTGACCCACGCCAGAGCTCCCTGTCGGCCATGGCCATCCCCAGCTCCTTCAGAGTCAAGCCAATCACTTCAAGGATACCATCCATCCATCTTGCCCTTAGTCGGCCCCTCTTCCTTTTTCCTTCCATTTTCCCAGCATCATTCTCTTCTTCAAGCTTTTCTGTCTTCTCATGATGTGGCCAAAGTACTTCATCTTTGCCTCTAATATCCTTCCCTCCAGTGAGCAGTTGGGCTTTATTTCCTGAAGTATGGACTGGTTGGATCTTCTTGAAGTCCAAGGCACTCTCAGAATTCTCCAGCACCACAGTTCAAAAACGTCTATCTTCTTTCGCTCAGCCTTCCCTAAGGTCCAGCTCTCACATCCGTAGGTGACTACAGGGAATACCATTGCTTTAACTATGTGGATCTTCATTGCCAGTGTGATGTCTCTACACTATTTTATTGAGATTGGTCATTGCTCTCCTCCCAAGAAGTAAATGTCTTCTGATTTCCTGGCTGCAGTCTGCATCTGTAGTAATATTTGCACCTAGAAACACAAAGTCTGTCACTGCCTCCATATTTTCTCCCTCTATTTGCCAGTTATCAATCAGTCCGGTTGCCATAATCTTGTTTTTTTATGTTTAACTGCAACCCAGCTTTTGCACTTTCTTCTTTCACCTTTATTAGAAGGTTCCTCAGCTCCTCCTCGCTTTCGGCCATCAAAGTGGTATCATCTGCATATCCGCATATCTGTATATCTGAAGAATAAGGGAAATAAAATTGCTCAAGGCAAGAGCAATAGGCCAGGCAGCATTTTGTGTCCTCAGACATCACCTGTATGCCTCACCATTGTCAACATCTTCTGTCCCTCCTCCTATGTCTCATTCTCCACAAGCACAGATTCCAAAATGAGAATCACTCTTAACTTTAAATTCCTCCCCAAGCCAAGAAGCAGCATTTCTGTTTGCATTCACTCTCAATGAATTATAGTGCCGCTCGTGCTGTCGCTGAACATTACTGTTTGGTGAAAGAGCCCAGAAAGTAGAACTGTGAAAGTTACTTTTCATTCCATTCCTTTCCGTTGTTGCAGTTCTAACGAGGCGTACATTATTTTTACTCATTGTATTACTTACAGAATTAGTCATCAAGCTGTTGGCTATTCACCTTTTTGAGGGGATAGTGAGATAGAAAAAATCCTTAGGATCGATAAATGCCTCTGAAAATGTTCTCTGAAGCATAATGAAAAGCAATTGCTTGTCATATTCTCCCATCTCATAACACCATCCCCTCCTGGTATTTTTTTTAAACTTTTGAAATATAACTGTATTGTTGTGCTCTTGTTATTTCCCTGTAACTACTTCCCAGCTCAGAGAGAGGCCTTGCTGAGCGCAGACACAGCAGGAAGGTTATCTAAGGCCCTCAGGAGGTTAAGTGTTGTTTTTTCAAATCTATTTATTGCAGCATGCTAGTGTGCCCCCGCATAAGGTTTAGGAATTAGCTGTCCTGGGGCAAATGATTGCTTGGGCCTTGTTTTAAGACGAAGAACACCGATTGTAGAGAAAGCACTTAGTCATGCCACTTGTAAATAAATTTGTGCTTATCCTCCTAATCCTTCCAGAATGCATGCGTGTGCTTTCACGTGGCCTTCAGTATACCGTAAATGTTGTTGTGTGCTTAGAAGTGATATCCAGCTTAAGGCACCCTTACAGCAAGCATTTCCTTGCCAGGATTTGTTCAAAGGAGGTTTGCCATCACTTGCCTCTGAGGCCGAGAGAGTGAGATTTGCCGCGGCTGATTCGGAATTCAAATCCTGGCCAACATTCAAACCACTACAACACACTGGCTCTTTTTGGAAAAGCACAACCTTTTAGAGGTCATAACCTTTTGGGAAACTGGGAATCTCCATAGCCTTTTGGAAGCATGGCCCTTTTGGGCATTAATGGCATTCACACTTGTTTATTTACTTACCGCATTTGTATACTGCCTTTCTCAAGGCAGTTCACAGTCAGCAGCAATTCGATGCCATACCAAATATCAAAATACAGTTAAAACCATTATAAAAACAATTCAACATTTAAAGTGTAATATAAAAAGCAAATATATCCGTAAAAACAAGATCCTTGGCGTCTCCTTACTAAAATCGTTGTCCAGTTGCATCGTCATTCATTCCATATGTTTGTTTATGTCTAATTATGCTCCAGTAGAAAAAGCTTGCTCGAAGAGCCAGGTCTTAACCATTTTGTGGAATGTTAGAAGGGAGGGAGCTGATCTTATATGGCTGGGGAGGGCATTCCATAGCCAAGGGGCCACCACTGAGAAGGTCCTGTCTTTCATCCCCACCAAACGCATCTGTGAGGAAGGCAGGATCGAGAGCAGGGCCTCCCCAGAAGATCTTAAAGTCCTAGATGGTTCATAAGGAGAGAAACGTTTGGATAGGTTGAGTTTCATTCCTGGCTGCACAAGTCTCCAGCTCTCAATGAGTAGTTAGTCTAGACCAAAGGTCCT